TTCCAAAAGCTTTAGTGCGTTTCCTGAAATTCCAAATTCTGATTCCAATCTGTGAAGCAGTATATCATGATCTACAGTGTCAAATGCGGCAGGCAGATCTAGAAGTATTAATAATACACAATCATTATGTCATTATGAACACCGAACTGTTTCGGTGCTGTGGAACCTACGATAGGCACTTTGCAGTTGCCCCATAAGATTATTATCATAGATATGATTTATAATTTGACTAGCGATTACCCGTTCCAGTGTTTTTGAAAGGAAGCTTAAGTTAGATACTGAGCGATGGTTTTTCTCAACATTGGGGTCAAGATTCGATTTTTTAATTAATGGAAATACAATAGCCGATTTAAATGCATCTGGAACAGTATTTTCAGTAACGGCACTGTTGATGATATTTGTCATGACAGGCAAGATGCATGGAAGGCACTTTTTCAGGAATGATGTTGGAATAGGATCCAGAACAGACGATGTTGAAGATGCTCGGATTATGATTTTCGATAATTCTGATTCAGAAACACAAGAGAGTTGGCAATTTTCTTTATGAAATATAGTGAAAAATTATTTTCAGGCAGTTTCTCAGCAGTCACATCACTGAATGTTTCGAAGAAGCAGGATAGAATTGATCCAACGACAAATAACAGAAAATAATTAATTGATAGGTATTACAGATAATATATTATTTAACCGTTATAGTTTATGAAATAAATATATTGATGTATTACGCCCAGTTGTGATATAAGCATGAATTCGCGTATTTCATTTAGTCAAGTGGCGTTGTTTCAATTCCCAACCTGTACGTGACCAGGGGTGAGGTCATCTGTCCAACATCGTGGGTTTTCTCCGGATCCTTCGGTTCATCTCCCATAGATAGACCCCTACGCACAAGTGGATGACTGAAAAGAAATTAAACCATGTTAGTTGATCTAGTTTGTGTCGAGTGGATGTTAACACCCCCTCTCTCTCTCTCTCTCGCTGAATATCACTTCCCTGCAGAGTTCGGGAATCGTGGACACTACCAGGCCAGAACAGAGAGCAACAACATTTCTATAAGACCCGATATGATTCACGATAGTTTAGAAAACTTCTCGTCGGATGATGAACAGATCACCAGGCGATCTTATTCTGATTTGTTTTACATCAATTAGTCCGGCAACATTTCCATATCCTGAAACAAACATTGCATAAGTTAAATGAATTTTATCAGTGGTTTTGAGCATTAGTAAGTGTTTATTATTATGTTTAGTTTCTTTCATCCACCTGGAACTGGCATCGACATTTGGAAAACGAAAGTTAAAGGACCTTGCCTAGTTCCTGTTTATAATTTATTTTACCTCAGTATTTACTCACCAGTGTATTCAGGAGCTCGTAATACAATCTCATCAATAACTTGTTTTATTACACTGCTTATTTCCACATCACTAACAACAAGCTGATAGGCCCCAGTTACACAAACCTCAAGGCAAAACAAACTCTTTGCACCATAATGAATGCATGATTGTAGTATTACTTTGGTTCAATATTATTTTTCACCAAACAGATGGACACTATCTTTCTTAAATCTGTGACTTCATCATCATTGTAAAATTTAAAGTTCATCTATCAGTTTAAGTCCAAGTTTATAAAATTTGGGTTCGATCTGGGTTCTAACGCTCGTTACTGCTGCACATCAACATTCAGAGTCGCTTTACAAAACACATAAATATTAAAAAGAACATAACATGTACATGTAGTACACCATATACGACAATAGCAGTTAAATCACTTTTAGTTGAGTTTAATTTATTCCGAGAATTTGGTATAGCGCTCGTTACTGCTGCACATCAACATTCAGAGTCGCTTTACAAAACACATAAATATTAAAAAGAACATAACATGTACATGTAGTACACATATATACGACAATAGCAGTTAAATCACTTTTAGTTGAGTTTAATTTATTCCGAGAATTTGTGCTTATAATGATGCGGTTTTAATGATTGTTTAAACTTGTCTGTGTTGAAGATGACTTTGCAGAATCTGGGAGATCATTCCATAGTTTAAGACAACCCACACTGATGGCTCTGTCTGCTAAAGTTCGTTTTTTAGTAAATGGAACATGAAGGAAATCAGTAGTAGCTCAACTTGTTGAACGTCTATTTAAGTTACATGTATATGAAATTAGACATGACCAGGAGCTTGATTTGAGCTCGTACTTTTACTGGTAGAATGTAGAGTTCTTTGAGTGTAGCAGTTGAGCTTGAGTATTTAGATACACCAAGTGTCACTTTGGCGGCCATGCCTTGGACTCTTTGAAGAGGCAGTAAGGTAGAGGCTGTGAGATTGACATAGAGACAGTTACAAGCCTCAGGTGTCGTGTACCTATATACCATCCAGATTACCCAGACTCTAGAATCACTTGATGAGCAAACGTGATCATATAGACAATGTAGTCTTGATTATCTGGACACAATATTATTGTTAAATCGCTTAAATCAACTGCGATAAACGCCGTTAACTGTTATAATAATGATAATGATATTTGTATCGCGCAACTATTCAATCCACTAGGGAATGCACTAGGCGCTAGAAAATGTTCTCACTTCGGAGTGTTAATGATAGTGACTAAACAACCAAGTTTTCACTTTGGATTTAAAAACCGACACAGATGCACATTGTCGGATATTTTCTGGAAGTGTATTCCAAACAATTGATGCGCTGTATCGAAAAGTTCTGGATCCAAAAGATTTCAAATTATAGGCAGGTACATCCAATAACAGTTTCCCTTCTGTATATTTTATCCATTTTACTGTGGAAAGATGATGCCAAGTCTTCGGCAAGTTGCTTATCAGTAACACCCTCGGGTAGTGGATTAGACTTGTTTGATCCTGCTAGGTTTGCGTTTGTCTCGAATAATAGTTTCCAATTGTTTCCAACACGATTCAATTGTATTTCGTATAAATTGTTCTTTTGCTTTTCTCATATGATAGAGAACATGAAATCAGTAATTTGTAAAGATAGCCATATCGTTGCAGCCAGCATATTGCTGGTAGAGTGAAGTTAGCTAGATTTTCGATTTTTCGATATTAGCGAATAATAGAGGACAACTAGCTCGTTTTTCGATATTTGAGCTTGAATCTCAAAAAAGCAGATTTGATGGATGTATATCTACAGATCGTCTCGAAACACATTTGATTAAATAAGTTTTCTAAAACGAAGTAAAAGATATCATAAATGAGGACGCCTGAGCAGTGAATTGATATAAAAATTGCTATTTCTCCTTGTTTATCTTCAGTTCGTTTTAGAAAACTCATATAATCAATGTGTTTTGGTGACTATCTGTAGATATACATCCAATATATCTGCTTTTTTTGAGATTTAAGTATGAATATCTTCAATCTAAAGCATTTATACAGAATTTTACAGGAAAGACAAAAAAACTGATTTAAATTAAAAATTGTGATCGTATTAAGATCTATTTTGTTTGAGGAGTTATTAATATGGACTTTAGTGGTTTGAAGTATTATTTTTGTAATGCATGCATTTTTCGCGTCATTAAATGACTTAGACAATTTTTGCATTATTTGACCATTATATTAGGGAACCGGTGGTTGTTATTAGTCAGTGAATTGACTATAATGACTTTTAAAAAATGGACTGTTCCACCACCGTGGTCACAAAGTCAAGTAGAGACTGTCAATAAACATCATTACGTATTCTCGTGGACACAGTGAAAGCACTCATGGCTCGCGCACAGGACAAAATGTAAGGTTTAATATCAGAAACTGGCAGTCTGCTGGCTGCTTTTCTGCATTAGTGGCGTAGGTGGCGCTTGATATTTTAGTCGATAGATTTCGTTTATAATTGTAGGTTAACGTGCTGTACCGGATCAACGAATCGATTCACCACAGTGGGTTAATTCATTCCGTTGTTTGAGAAATAGACTGGTATCCTTCTTCAGAAGATCTCTCAGTATGGCAGAAAGATTTGGTATGATAGGCGACATATAGGTGACAAACCCTAAGAATTCTTGAAGTTGGTTCTTGCATGTAGGGGAGGGAGGTGAGAGCATCTGATTTAGATCATATATCTTCATAGGATCAGGACGAACCCCTTTATCTGTGTATGACATGCCTAAAGGGGAACATAGTTTTGTCCTTAATGACACATTTGGTTGAATTAAAGACTAGACCATCCTGTGCAGCAACAGACATTAATTGATGGAGAATTTTGTCGTGTTGTTTTTACCAGTTTTAGCAGAAATAGGTACGTCATCAGCAATTGCAGCAACTACATCGACTTGATCCAGAATCTGGGCGATTTTCATTTGGAAATCTAAGCGATCTTCATTTGGAAATCTAAGCGATCTTCATTTGGAAAATGTTCTGTGAGACAGATAGTCCAAAGGGTAGTCTCTGGAAACAGTATCTGCCAAATGGTGTTTGGAAAGTTGTGAGAGTTTGCGATGTTTCACAGCCCAATAGCCCATTTTTGCATCCAACTTTGAAAACCATGACTAATTAATCTTACAGAGGCCAATTTAGTGACACAACTATCGCCTAACTCCAAATATTCGTGTTTTAATTAATGAAGGATTGTTTTTATTTGACTTCAAACCTTCATCTAAGTCCATTGTACACGGCTCATTTCATTCTGAAAACATCGGCTGTATGACGCTAAGTGATATCATTTAAGTTATTTCTGGTAATGTGTGGGCGACATTCTTTTTTTAAATGTCATTTATTTCATGGTTTTCAGGCCATATTTCTTTTAGAATAAAGCTAGACACAGGGTTTATGGTTCGCGGCAGATTTTAATACCAAATTTTGAAAAACTCTGGGCTCTATCGCGTTCACAAGGTTTACGGAAAAATATGAATAACGCCATAACGAAGGGTCGGGAAGAGCTGAAAATCAATAAATTTCATTCTCTGTACACGGGACTCTTTGTAACACTATCCTGTGTCTGGGTAGGACTTTCACGCTGTGTATAAACTATTTCAATGAGTAAATAACTCCGGGACACCGTTTTATTATAACTATGTTTATATATTAAATACAGGAAACTACAACATATCTATGATAGTACATTATGTGTTATTATAATATATACAGTCTGAGTTTAACAAGCCTAGAACTCAGACCTAACGATTGAAATACTACAGGCTCTCTCTCTCTCTCTCTCTCTCTCGGCCTCGAACCAGGGGCTGAGAGTACGTACATGATGTCTAATTATCCCTTAGAGTACTAAAGGTGGCAAGAGCCACACCCTTCTTGATAGATCTACATGATGATCTCGATCGACCTGAAAGCCGAGACGGTTAACGGTATGTCTCTCTAGGAATCCCAAATGATGTCTGAAGCGAATTTAATCGCGCCCTTTAATTTATCTCAAGCGTTTGGCTACGTCTGCTATTAGGACGGATACTTGGCCATTTTTGGATAAGTGTTTCATTAGAGCACGCAGTTACGTCAACACTATGTTGATAAAATTGAGCTAATCTGTATTCAAGAGACCTCATTTACCACCCCGAGATAAAAGATGGCAGGAACAGATCATGCTGTAAGGGTAAATATTTGTCTCGTAGCATACTGCATATCATTGTTCATTAGACTCTAGAGAGTCCACAACGTTGGTATATGCATTTCACCCTTTGATACTATTTGCATGACAGGGGAGGCAATTTTAACGAAAATCGAACTCATCCGCGATATGTACTAAACATATTATCTTTGAACCATAATCAATTTCAATAAAATTTCCCACAATCAAGGGCAATAATCTAGGAAGTTACGACCATCGAAATCATTCGAGATCTTTTGACATAAACATATATGTTTAGTTTCATTCATCCTCGGTATCCCCAGTGGTTTCATTCCGTTCTACTCCACTAACCACCTGGGTTAATCTATGAGGAGGACTCGTTTTCAAGTTATCCACCCTTGATGATTGTGATAGTTTTATCGACCAATCCCATACATCGTTAATTGAAAAGGACGTTGGCAAAGGGAAGTAACTCTCACCGGACAAGTTTAGGAGTTAGCCTAAATGAGAGAAGTTCAAATTATTCTAAATGCGTACTTACTAACAACAAATTATGTAATATGAAATTAGTGAAGACCGGACCAAATTGCCAAGTATAAGTTCAATAATAATAAAACATAACAGAATGAAACATTTCAGATAAAGAACGAATAGTAATAATAATAATAACAAAAGTCAAACATATAGATGTTATACATATTTGAGATCAGCGAAACATACTTCATATTTTGATAATACAATTAATTATAAATGAATTAGAAATATATACATTATTTACATAAATCATTCAGTAAAGTAATACTGTTGGTGGAATATGGCTTAAAGCCATGTTCGTGTATCTCTGGCTTATATACATACATATAAACACAGTTAGTTATAAGAAGTTATATGAACTATTTATTAAAATATGGATTGATAAATGTAAAACAAATGCTGTATTTAGGTGATAACCAGCCACTCTAATAAAAGGGTCACAAAGCACTATTTTTTTTTAAAAAATGGGAATATTTCAGTTTTTAAAATACTTTAACAATCAGAGGTATCCTTGAAATTACATAGTGTAAATATTTTGTGGAAGCAAGTTGTTCTAATCTTTACATAAATTTCCTGACAAAATGAGGTGGAAAAAGGGAGTTATGACATAATTCATAGCATAAAAGGGCAAGGGGTATGAAAAAAATTTAATTAATATTTTATTGCTCTGTAAGTGCCACAATTTAAAAGATCACCACAAATAATAGATTTACATCCAAAATGTAAAACATTAAGCTGCAAAAAACACATCTACAACATATCCCTTTTGGGGGGTGGACTCATTTGGAAGAAATGTCATAGGATTACATGTTTGGCCATAAACAAAAAGTCTTAGAAATCCTTGAAATCTTATATGTAACTATTTGTTTGTGCCAAATAAAATGCTCGGTTACAATTCAAGCACAAAATCCAATTACTGCTAATTTGGAGTCAACAAATGTTCAATTGAATATCCAAATATCATGTTAAAGAAAAGGGGTGAGGTGGGGGGAGCCAATCTAAATGAAATGAAGACAGAAATTTCCCTGCAAACACATAGATTTTACTTTCTCGAGAAGGGAAATGCGACAATTTCAGGTTTTGAAAGATTAAAATTGTGTTAAGCCAGAGGACTCAGCAGCAAAATGCAGTTCACTCATGTTTTGAAAATTCTAACATACCTCAACACTACATAATTAGACTAAATTTCTTAATTTTCAAATTGTTGACAAACACATGATTACTTTTTCAATATCTGACAAACGCAAGGATCCTTTCAAAGTTATTTAACAATGAAAAAAAAGACATGCAAGCCATTTTGGTTCATTTTACAACAGATGAATAATTAAAATTTTGACAGCAATAATGGGGGTAATCTGAAGAATTTCAGACAACTTATCATGATTTTTAGGAAAAATTTAGTGAAATTATGATACTTTCTTCCCGTCTAGCCTTTATGATGCAGAAAAAGTAAAAAACATACATAAAAATATTTTCCACTAATTTTGAAAAGTAAATAAACACTGAAAATCACAAAATTTTGACTAAAATCAAAATTTCCCCTCACAAATTTGTCAAATATTTTTGAAATTTTACCATTTCACTTTTTTTACTATCAAAATGTCATATATAATATTTTCTGACAATTTGGAGATCATATCATCAAATTTAGGCCTTTCATCCACCGTCAGGTCGTTTCCATACAGGAGGCAGACCACCATTAATTTCCCCATTGACTTCAATGTTAATTCTGGCCTCTTTGCCCACCTTCAACTGTTCGTTGGACTGAATGCTTTTCACTAAAGACAGAGGAACAAATGGTCATGTCTTTTCATTAAAGACAGAGGAACAAATGGTCATGTCTTTTCATTAAAGACAGAGGAACAAATGGTCATGTCTTTTCACTAAAGACAGAGGAACAAATGGTCATGTCTTTGCACTAAAATTTGTATGAGGTTGATCTCCAAAATTTTGAGATACACAAACTTGAAGAAACATACTAAAACATGTAACTAGTTGTCGTACATATCACCGTAGCCAACCTGATAATCGTGTTATCCTTCCGCCTCAAAATCATGAATATTTACCAAAACCTGGCAGAAAATGTTAATTCAAACCCTCTTCGTCCATCCTAGACTAAAAAATCAACAAAAATGGGCACGCAGAAGGGGAGAAAGGAGACAGAGGGAGAATTGCTATAAATATACGAACTACAATTTAATAGTGGATTAGAACGGAATGAAAACACTGGGAATACCGAAGATGAGTTACACTGTGACCGCAGAGCAGTGGGACGTTAAACTCCATTTCATTTCATTTCATTGTGACCGTTAGAGTTTTCACAATCAAATGTATCGGACGTCCGGACGGAAAGGGGCAGCGGTACAAAACTTCTTGATGAAAATGTGGTCATATAAAAACGAACCGAAATAGGGTCAGATAGCAATGAGAATGAAACATGAAATAACAGGTAGAAACTAGGACAACCCGCCCTTGAGCATTTTCATCAGCAAAGGCTCAAACCCGCTGTTATTCAAATATATTCTTTAATATGTAAGAAATAAACTGTTAACAAAACGCCAACAAATAAGTGAATTCGTGTAAATACGAAATGTCTTAAAAATAATTAATGTCTTCATTTGTATATTTCTGTCAGCCCCATAACGTCGGTAGTTCTCATTACATCAATGACACAAGCGACTGAAGTCATCAATGACACAAGCGACTGCAGCCATCAATGACACAAGCGACTGCAGTCATTTACAGTCTGTCATCCTAGAGATATAAAAATGTAAACATTAGGTAAAATATATAAACCCAGAAAAAACCCATAAAATTATATGTAGATTTGGTTTATGTGGGTCTTTAAATAAGTAGCTGATAAACATATATAATTGGGCTGGTTTTGTTTTGGGTCTTGTTTTCTATTTTAGGTGGTTTTTTTTTGTTTTGGGGGTTTTTTTTTTGCCTTGATCTCATAAAACTAACACAATACTTTTGTCAAAATGAGACTACTATAAGTTTACTATCCCTGGTGTAATAAAACTAACATAAAACTAACTACTATAAGTTTACTATGCCTGGTCTAATAAAACTAACACGATAGTAGTATGAGACTACTTTATGGAAATTTTGATTTTACAAAGAGATTGCTTGATCAGCACGCCAATATATACAGGAACAATTAAAACCATAGGGTACCCGACATTGGAGACGGACGAGACGGCGCTTGAAAAAACACCAAGGTTCTTCTTGACCTACGCCGGGATTCGAGTCGAGTCTCAAGCGACAGCCAATACTCTTCATATTTTTGTTCGAAATCTTACTAAAAAAACTCGACATACTTGAATTATTTTATTGTGAATAAGGAAATGCGGGAATATTTAATGTTCATGTGACTTTCCAGTGGGGTTTAGTATCTGACCGAGAGATTTGGGTCATCAGTAGTCAATAGTTACATCGGATGTAATAGTATTAATACTTACGATATTGCTATATAAGACTTCCCCAGAAGTTGTATTATAATAAACAGCCTCAGGTTTCTGGTCATTCTCTGAAATAATAGACAATATTACAGGAACGATTCCCGAACGTGGGTGGTAGTTGGAGTACATTTTTGTAATTATTCAAATAGATATGAGTTGCAACTTTCGGTTAATTTTACTACATGCTAAGCAAGTTATTCAAAACACGTGCTTCATTTTCTTTTTTTTAATATTCAATTAATTGGTGGTCATCATCTATTACATAAACGATTTTTTTTTTAAAAAAAGGGGCATAACAGTGAATCTGTAATATTCGATTGAATGATAATAACAATATGGCGTGGTGATGTCGGTATGATAGTTGGTATAAAATTAATGGTTTTAAACAGAAGATTTGTTTACCGTTCTCTTTAGAATCCTTTTGAACTTGAGCGTAAACTGGTCCTCTTTCATTATTATTTGACCTGTTGTTTCCAGTAAATGTTGGATCTAAATCAGCACTTCGATACAGCGCATTCTCCATTATTTCCATCTCCGGCTTTGTTGGATTCTTTGCGACTGAAAATAATACCGTATTTGTTTTTAATTGATATTTTCTGTAAGTTAGTTTTCGAGATATTAAATAATACCGTATTTGTTTTTAATTGATATTTTCTGTAAGTTAGTGTACTAGATATTAAATAAGAATGAATAACACGTGCTATATTATTACCTCCCCTGACACATGTTGACAATACTTTCTGTGATCATACAATACAATGCAAGCATACACAGACAGTCCAAAATATTCGACATGGAGACGACATGTTTATAACACAGTCGAAAACAAATATTAATAATAAGAATATATTTGATAAGCATTTGGATACTGATTACATTTGGTAATGTACACGATATGGAAGATAATAGCCGTAAAAATTGTAATGTTCTTGATATGGGGGATAACAGCCGTTAAAGTTGTGATGGAACGGCTGCTCACGAAAATGATTTAGATATCGATAATATTCTTAGTACTGTGGTTAATATGGAGGGTACTAGCCGTCCAAATTTTGATTTGCAATTTAATACATTATAGTATCTAACCTGGCTCCAGGTTCACAAAGCATTCTCAGACTTAAGTTGAGAATTTACTCAACTTTCGAAATATCTTTGATCCAGAAACACAAAACTTTGCATATAGTTTCTTATTGGTGTATTTCATACATTAAAACAACAAATGTTTTATGAGTAAATTCTTAACTTGAAGTCTGAGAATGCTATGTGAACTCGGGGCCAGGTTTACTACTGCATGTGGGCTAAACACGGTACCTTATGGGACACCATCTATTGCATGTGGGCTAAACACGGTACCTTATGGGACACCATCTATTGCATGTGGACATAACACGGTACCATATGGGGCATCAACTACTGCATGTGGGCTAAACACCGTACCTTATGGGGCATCAATTATTGTATGTGGACATAATACGGCACCTTATGGCATGCTAGCAATTGCATGTGGGCTAAACACCGTACCATAGATGCCAACTAATTGTATAATAACAATATTATTTGCACTTTCATGATTCAGTTTCAAGGAGTATTGTTTGTATGCCAGCCGCGTAAAGTTTATACTTGAAAAAGAGAAGGTATTTTACCTTTCTTTTTAGAATCCTTTTCAACCTGTGCGTAAACTGGTCCTCTTTCATTGTTATTTGACGTGTTATTTCCAGTAAATGTTGGATCTAAATCAGCACTTTGATACAGCGCATTCTCCATTATTTCCATCTCCGACTTTGTTGGATTCTTTGCGACTGAAAATAATACTGTATACTTATATAAGATGTTATTTGAGAATATTATTTATAAGATAATACTTTATACTTATATAAGATTTTAGTTGCTAATATTATTTATAAGATAATACTGTATACTTATATAAGATGTTAGTTGCAAATACTATTTATAAGTCACAAATGGAACTGGCCGCAACACCTGAAATGGGGTTTAACTGTTCTGCTCCGACTGGGCAAACGGGCATACACCACACAGTGTGCTATGAGGGATTTTTTGCCCGGACCCTTATATCGAATTCCATCTGCCAATGGAAATTTACGTCCACGCCAATGTGTACACGGGTCCTAGTGTTTTTTTCGTCCAATCCGAACGACTTGCCAGATAAATACGAAGACATGGTCAGTTATAATTAAGAAAGGAATACTAACCTGGTTTGTTTCTATGTAATATCACTACCAATACGACTATTATAATTACCAATATAATTATAGTAAATATAGCACCACCAGTTATACCAAATACAAGCTGTCTATCAGAACCTTCTATAGATTCTACAATATAAAATAATCCATTCAACTATTATCTTTATATTAATATAAAATAATCCATCCAGCTATTATCTTTATATTAATATAAAATAATCCATTCAGCTATTATCTTTATATTAATATAAAATAATCCATCCAGCTATTATCTTTATATTAATATAAAATAATCCATTCAGCTATTATCTTTATATTAATATAAAACAATCCATCCAGCTATTATCTTTATATTAATATAAAATAATCCATTCAGCTATTATCTTTATATTAATATAAAATAATCCATTCAACTATTATCTTTATATTAATATAAAATAATCCATCCAGCTATTATCTTTATATTAATATAAAATAATCCATCCAGCTATTATCTTTATATTAATATAAAATAATCCATCCAGCTATTATCTTTATATTAATATAAAATAATCCATCCAGCTATTATCTTTATATTAATATAAAATAATCCATTCAGCTATTATCTTTATATTAATATAAAATAATCCATTCAGCTATTATCTTTATATTAATATAAAATAATCCATCCAGCTATTATCTTTATATTAATATAAAACAATCCATCCAGCTATTATCTTTATATTAATATAAAATAATCCATTCAGCTATTATCTTTATATTAATATAAAACAATCCATCCAGCTATTATCTTTATATTAATATAAAATAATCCATTCAGTTATTATCTTTATATTAATATAAAATAATCCATTCAACTATTATCTTTATATTAATATAAAATAATCCATTCAGCTATTATCTTTATATTAATATAAAATAATCCATTCAGCTATTATCTTTATATTAATATAAAATAATCCATCCAGCTATTATCTTTTATAGCTGACATATTAACATTAAATAACCACTAGAGTTAGCTGACATATTAACATTACATAACCACTAGAGGTAGCTGACATATTAACATTAAATAACCACTAGAGTTAGCTGACATATTAACATTAAATAACCACTAGAGGTAGCTGACATATTAACATTACATAACTACTAGAGGTAGCTGACATATTAACATAAATCGTATCATCAATTAGATGTAGTGGGAAAACACACATATAATAACAAATATCAACAACCAGGGGTTTGGGAATATTTAACTTAAAATATAAAATATAACCAATTAAACGTTGTGGAATAGAATTGTCACCTGATTAAATAGATAGAAATCTCGACCATGCGATGTCCTAGAGAGGTGATTACTGGCTTGGCACGTGAATAAATATCTAAATAATAATTCAAATAACATAAAAGAAAGGCAGACATGTATCATGAAGATTTAGCTCTTACATAATACCTCTTTGATAGGGAACCTATTTTAATTTAAACAAATGTTTACTTACCCAACCTAGATGTAGTCTCCACTATAAGTTCAACAGAGGAATGAATACAACCATTGGTATTACATATATTACAAGTATATGTAGCTGTATCAGATAGTTGAATAGATGTTAGTCTTATTACTGTTTTATTACTAGGTATTAATACAGTAGAATTATAGTAACTAGGTATTCTACTATATTCAATAGTTGATATAATATCCCTTCTTTCATCTTTATACCATGTAATATTACAATCCATAGGACATGTATAGATCTTATATAACTCTATATAATCACCAACACGACCATTCTCTTTACTAATATTCTTACTGTGGAACTCTGCTTTAACTGAAACAAATTATACAAAACGTTCATCATGAATCGCCTCTGTACTTGATGATAAATAACTGCATACAAGGCTGTTTCACTCCATTAAAAAACCCCAGTAATTCCTTATCTTAATGGAAATCAATATATCTTACATTGTAGAGGAATTATTTAATAGAATTATTGTTACAACTAATAAAGGGATGTCATATAGAGTAGAAAGGGACTTCTACTGGTGGATCATATTTACGTTATGCTATCATGATAAATTACCTGTATTAAGTAGCTACCTGTATTGTGTAGATATATTACCTGTATTAAGTAGATATATTACCTGTATTATGTAGATATATTACCTGTATTATGTAGATATCTAGCTGTTTGTTCTGTTTGGTTATTTCTGTTAATACCATTACTAACACTACATATATAAATTCCATCATCTTTAAAATCAGTTGAAACTTCTAGATTATAACTTTTACCATCTTCCTCTTCCATACCGGGTATTTCACGTATTAGTTCATTACCAATATAATGCTGCCATGGAGAAAAGGTCAAATTATTTGGCTGGGCATCGGCTGTACATTGTAGTATAATACCTGTACTATTGTTGATGTTAATACCTGTACTGTTGTTGTTGGTAGCATTGTGTACTGATATTGAAACAATTGGAGCATCTGAAGTTAAAAGTAAAACTAAAACATGTTAGATCATTCACGTATATTTTTATGTAAGATTTGTTAGTATTTCATTAAGTTGAATATCAAAATAATTGTCTTTATAATGGAATGACGTGTATAAAAACGATATTTATTTATAATGGAATGACGTGTATAAAAACGATATTTATTTATAATGGGATGACGTGTATAAAAACGATATTTATTTATAATGGAATGGCTTGTATAACAACGATATTTATTTTCACGTTATTTGTTTAAGACAGATGAAGATGGTGGTGTGAAATCAATTGAAACTCATTTAAACTTAATTTAGATCTTTTGGAATAATTTTTGAACAAAAATATTTTTCAATTAACCTCTACATTTATCCCGTATACGGCCATATTGATTCATTTCTTTTTGAGATTCCATTTTTGCCATAACGTACCACAAGCCTGCAGGCAGTTGTACGGGACTAGGATAAAATATTCTAAGAGATTTCTGCGCAGGAGGTGGCTACTTTAAAAGCCCTTTGAGTTGACGTTCAAATTTATAAAGATATAGGGATCCATGGTTCGTTAGCTAGTGTTGACCAAGAAAGCTCCCCCTTGTCAGTGATCCAGGACCCCTTGTCAGCGATCCAGGACGTATAGTCGTTCGGATAGGACAAAAACATGTCCCGTCTACATATTGACGTACACACTAAAGAACTCTTGATAATTGGAATTCGATATAAGAGTAGGCAATAGTGCCGTTTTCCGAGCCAAAATTCCCTCATGGAACACTCCGAGCCTCGTGGAACACTGCATGGCGCATGTCCGGCTTAATAAGCTCGGTCGGTGCAGAACAGTAGGACGTTAAACCCTATTTTATTATATTTCATATATAAAGATATAAACTGTTTTACAACTGTTGTTCATATGTTCATCAAGTATGTATCTAATGTGTGATACCCTATGTTACTTACATAAAACCTGTAACCGTATCTTGTATTTAGCTTCAACTTGTTTTGTAGTAATATCTGCATTACACGATATTATCGCACCGTTCATCTGATGTGTAACATGTACATTAGAACGTAACATTCTACCAGTACTGACTATACTTTGGTTGTAATTTGTTGATTGTATAAATATTTCAATAGTTGGTGTAGGAAAAGCTTTCAATGCTTCACATGTTAAGTTCATTATTTCGTCCTCATATAATGTTAATGTGTGATCAAAGTCGTCGCTCCGGGGTGAAGATGTTAAGATAAGATCTTGAATATCATCTAGGAGAAGAAAAGAAAAGAAAAGAAATCAGTCATAAAAATGATTTCACAATTGAACAGTATTCTCATAATCGTTGATTCTAAAATCAAAACCGTATTGTCAATGTTTATAAGTGACGAGTGTCATTCACGTGACATCGATCATGTGCTTATTCTTTCAACTATATCTAACACCATTTCTGTTTTACTTGGGAAGTTAAACATGCATTATGTAAGATTTAGATAAAGAGCTGACGGTTCACACTATAATAGTTTAAAAATAGATCATGAAAAGGGTATAAGGTGATAATTTCAATAAAATTACTTCGTTCTGAGCCGATTTATCGTCGATTGCAGAGCATCGTAGTCACGATTGTCAATGCTACCGCTGTTACGATAATAAACAAAGTCTCAATTATCTATTTTTTAATTAAATCACTATCCGCAATTCATATTTAAATCTGTTGAAAATCTAGAGCATCGAAAGTTGATTTTGGTCCTGGCATGTTAATAAATGTCTAATTAATAATTTATATAATATTTAAGGCCTAAAGAAAGGCCTGTAATAGACAGATTTAGCCTCTTTAATAATACCCTGCAGAATGTTTACAACCCTTCAAGGTTCGGTGACGGAGCAATACCTTTTGGACGGGAAAATATACAGACGTACCGAGGGTAGATGATGATGTAACTATACAGACGTACCAAGGGTAGATGATGACGTACCGAGGGTAGATGATGACGTACCGAGGGTAGATTATGACGTACCGAGGGTAGATGATGACGTACCGAGGGTAGATGATGACGTATTCCAACATGTATAAAAGACGCGCTCACCTGATAACAATATTGTTGTTGACCTTGACCTAATTATTTGTTCTATATATGTCGCTGTACAATATATCACCGATCTGTGCATGTCTGCGTTGATTGTTACATTTTTTTCCATATAAGTTTGACCATAAAGATTAACTTCGAGGCAAGTTGGGTCGCACATCTGGAAACTTAGTGGTTGAGATGCTGGTGTGATCTCACATTTAAAACTTAAGTTGTCACCAATTCTGGTTTTAATAAATGTTAACCCAGCGTCAGTTTTACTTTCTGGTTCAATAGATAATAGTATATTCCTCACTGGTACTATAAATAAAATCACTTTTTATAGACTCAGTTATAAACACAAATTGTAAATGAAAATATGTAATCAATAATTATTGATCTCCCATTCGGGAATCACACATGATTTGTGAAATCTCGGAGTATAGGTTTGGTCAAAATTTGCTTCAAGAACCGTCTAGTAAGCAAGATAATTGATCCTGATAGGTGATATGAATTCTCAGATATATTAGTTCTACTGAGGCTGTTGGTCGATGTGCAATATACCCATCTGATATGGGCGTATTGCTCTCTTTACTTACTATGACCCATTCTTGAAGTACTTTAATTTACATTTCGAACTACGCTCGAGAAAGTTAATTCAATTCATAACACAAATTAGGCGCTAATGCAGGATACGTGGGGTGGATAAGATGCTGGCTCGCAAGCCTGGAGGTATCGTATTCGATTCCTACATTGGCCGAGAAAGTTCATCTGGATTTTCCAGTGTGGTTTCCCATTGTCAGTGATGTAGGGCTGTAGGGACTGGGACAGCTGGCTAGTCGTTCAGATGGGACGAAAAACCCGAGGTCCCGTGTACATATTAGCGTGTACATAAAAGATCCCTTAGAAGTTGGAATTCGATACAAGAGTAGACCATAATGCCGCTGTCTAGGCAAAATTTCCCTCATAGCATACTTAACTGGATGGGGTATGCCCAGTTCGGAGCAGACGAAGTAGGACGTTAAACCCCATTTCATTTCATTTCATTTCGTTTTGTAAATATATAAATGGTTGCGTAATATAGTTCAGTTGGTATCGGTGGCGTAGAGTTTCTCATCGACTATTTTGAAACTTGATAAATACAACGGTACACTAATTACCTGATCGTGACAAAATGAATACAAGTATATTGTACCTTTTGTTCTTCCCACGGTCGAAGATGTCGAGTAAAGTGAATACATTTAGATAGGAAAATTTAAACTCCTTTGTAGCTTGTTAAGTGCATTTACATAGGCCATCCATCTAATACTATATTTTAACTCTCTCGGATGAAAAGTCAGTAAATAGAGTTTTTGAAATTATTGAACCCTATTGTATAGCATCAGGAGCAAAAAAGTGAATGTTGAAAAGTCGGAAATAATGCCGGTTGGTAAATATAGCTTTCATATACCAGTTAATATTGTTACTGAGTGCATGTTAATTCTAGATGTATATCTTGGACCGAATATAAGCAGTATTGTGGAAATATGTACTTGGATACTAAATTTACAAAAATCAAACAAATTGTTAATTATGGAGTAAACGAAATCTAACCTTACATGGCAAATCCACTGTTGTACAATCTCTAGTTTTAACTAAATTATATTTTCTTATGGCCGTTCTACCAATACCCTAACCTTACATGGCAAATCCACTGTTGTACAATGTCTAGTTTTAACTAAATTATATTTTCTTATGGCCGTTCTACCAATACCCCCGGATATTGAAATAGAAATAAGTTACATAAATTCCTTTGGAAATAAATAATCTTAACCTCAAGAGTAAAGCCTTCATTAAGTCTAAAATAGATAATTAAATTTATTGATATATTGTATTAACATGTACGGTAATTTTAATCTTGGTAAAGTTTTATATGCCAAAAGGTTATTAAAGTATTTATCAGATTTTTATAAAAACTTACTAGAATCTTGGGGTGATTTAAACAAACGCATAAGACCCTTCCCAGATTCAATAGTAGATATAGCTATAAAACCATTGTTTAATAATACATAAACACGTCAACATTGATACGTTCACTATTTAGGGCATTAGACTGATGACTGATATTTTAGATAATACTAAGGCTGGGTTTATATTTACAAAACATATTATTAATTTAATTCAAGCCTACAACCCTATACACCGATATATATGGAAGCCTATTGCGGCCATTTCAGAATCTCGACTTCTCGCCGCGAGAAGTCGAGGGCGAGAACACGAGAAGACGAGAAGTCGAGGGCGGGAGTGATAGGGAGCAAGAACACGAGGAAACAGGGCGAGAATACGAGGATCTCGCCTCGAGAACACGAGATTACTTTCACCTCGACTTCTCGCTCCCTCATCCCTCGACTTCTCGCTCCCTCGTGTTCTCGCCGTTGGAGAAAAACTTGTTCTCGCACTCTCGCCCTCGACTTCTCGCCCTCGACTTCTCGCTCCCTCGTGTTCTCGCCTTTGAAAAACCTCGACTTCTCGCCCCTCGCTCCCTCGCCTTTGAGTTAATCTCGTCCTCTCGTGTTCTTATGGAAGCCTATTGCGACCATTTCAGAATCTCGAACTTCTCGCCGCGAGAAGTCGAGGGCGAGAACACGAGAACACGAGAAGTCGAGGGCGAGAGTGCGAGGGAGCGAGAACACGAGGAAACAGGGCGAGAAAACGAGGATCTCGCCCCGAGAACACGAGATTACTTACACCTCGACTACGCAATGAGCCACAGCAGCCCCTACTTCATTTCGAATCCGAACACAGAACTTCGGTCTTTTTTAATCCAAGGCCTCTGTCTATATCGAATTCAAACTGCCAATTACGTGCACGCCAATTTATAGCCTCGGTTTTTCGTCCCATCCGAACAACTAGACAGCTATCCTTGCTAAAACCTCCGCCCTGTACCTATGACAAGGGGAAACCACGTCGGAAAACCCCGATGAACTTTCTCGGCCAATGCAGGGATCGAACACGTGACCTCCAGTTTAGTAAGCCAGCGTCTTACCCACTTAGCCACCGTGGCTCCGAACTTTAATGATGTTAGAGAGCAAACGTCCTACTCACGGAGCCACCCTAACTCCCACTCCATTTCGATTCCGGACACGGGACCTCGTTTTTTTAAGCCATCCGAACGACTATACGTGGTCCCTTGCGAGGGCTTCCCTCCTACGCCACTGAAGTAAGAGAGCAAACGTCCTACTCACTGAGCCACCGTAGCCCCACTTCATTTCGATTTCGGACAAGGAACCTCGTTTTTTATTTATACCATTCAAACGACTATACCACTGACAAGCAGGAACCCCGACCGAAAAATCCAGGAGAACTTTGATGAAGTAAGAGAGCAAACGTCCTACTCACTGAGCCGTCGTAGCTTACACTTCATTTACATTCCGGACACGGGATCTCGGTTATTTGTATTCCATCCGAACCGAACGACTATACGTTGTCTCTTCTCAGGCCCTCCATTCTAGGGTGGACATCGCCAGAAAAGATTAAAATTGTTTAGGACTATTAAATTTTCTAGAACTTCAAACATTTCCGTTTATTATAATCCATGTCCAAATATAAATGCCGATACGGTAGCGAGAAGACGAGAAGACGAGAAGTCGAGATTGTGACGAAGCGAGGGGGCGAGAACACGAGGGGACGAGATTAACTCAAAGGCGAGGGAGCAAGGGAGCGAGAAGTCGAGGTTTTTAAAGGCGAGAACACGATGGAGCGAGAAGTCGAGGACGAGAAGTCGAGAAGTCGAGGGCGAGAAGTCGAGAAGTCGAGGGCGAGAGTGCGAGAACACGAGGTTTTTCAAGGCGAGAACACGAGGGAGCGAGAAGTCGAGGTGAAAGTAATCTCGTGTTCTCGGGGCGAGATCCTCGTATTCTCGCCCTGTTTCCTCGTGTTCTCGCTCCCTCGCACTCTCGCCCTCGACTTCTCGCGCGAGATTCTGAAATGGCCGCAATATGCTTCCATAGATATAGCATAACTGAATTGATTAAATGAAGTATCCCCCAATTATGGTTGAGAGTAATTCACACTAACATGTATGTAACAACAATATCTTCTCCCAACACCAGTCACGTGATAGATGATGAATTGATAACGCCAAATAAATTAACATCTAAATTCTGTTATCAAAAGTTTCACAGCTATAATTTTGTTCAACTTATTTGTTTAAATTATTGGGAAAAGAAGGGTTTCGTGTGTAATTTTACTATCATATGGAAAAACGTGTTTTGTACATATAAAAGTCCTAAGAGAGAGAGAGGGAGAGAAGGGCGTGGGGGGGGGCGGCCATGGGGGGGGGGGGGCACGGCCACGGACATCAATTTAAAAGGGAAATCCAATCAATTAAATTTAATTTGTTAGGTGTTTTTTTTTTAATTTGAAATTATCGCTGTTAAACAAATTTATTTCATTTGTTTTTTAGTTTTTTTTAAATATTAAATTATTTGAAATCTCTTTCTTACATTTCATTTCTTAATTTTTGAGTATTAGGCCTTATATACTTGAGTCTTATGGGCATGCAACCAGGGAGTTGGCCTCGCACGTCTGCACGCCATCTAACGGTGACATATACTGGTCAATTCCGTGATAAAATTATTTGTAAATTGACATGCTATCATGAACTATCACAAACAGTAAAATATATCAACTTGCCTCCAAACTGTATCGTGTAATTAAAGTAGTAGTTTGTTACAGAACAACGCCAAGACTTATCCTTGTCCTTAATATAATCTACAGGATTAATAACAAGTTGGTGTGATGAACAACGAATTGTGAATCGTGGATACCGGTAGTTTGGTTCCTTACATTTCCATCCAGACGAGGAGGTAGTTGCAATATATTGTCCACCTATTCTCCACACTATCTGATCGTTATAGTAAGGAGTGAGACCGCTACACGTCAGGACCAATTCTTGACCATCAAATACTATAGCAGGCGACGCAGTGAGTACTAAAAAAAAATAATAAACAGATTTAATTAATAAGATAATATATTTAATAATATATTTAATAATATATAGAGAGTGAAACGTAAATCGGCATGCACTTACAGACAACGCATTCAAACTGAACAGACAATTTTTCACGTTTATTATTCGTACAGAACATTTCTGCACACGTTTGCTTTTTTCTTACTCTTACAGTACATCAGTACACATACGTTTACAAAATCGAGCGACAAGAAGGAGCATTTTACCCTTTGGATTAAATAACAGAAAAAAAAGTCAAGAAAATTTAATTTAACGTTCTAGATAGTAAAAATTGACAGGGAATAAAATTAATATATAAGAGGCTGTTTTTTATCGTCGAAGACATTAATCCCGGAACAGATGATCTGTGAGTATAAATTTTAAAAAGCTGAATTTAATAAATGCGATAAAGGAGTCACAATAAAACAAAATCATCATGGTTTATATTGATTAAAGATAGTCTAATTAACTAAATTCATCATGGTTTATATTGATTAAAGATAGTCTAATTAACTAAAATCATAAACAATTTGGATATAAACTAGAATATATATTCTATCCTGTCTTCTTCAACAATTCGACAATAAATTTTCAACAAAATAAAAATGTTTGAGTTCGAAGAACTTCCAAGGTCTCTGTAACATATTTAATTGTGGGTTCAAGATATTATAAACCCATATCTTATACTATTAACATGCATGGGAACTGGTCCGTTTATTTCTAAAGTGGGTTGTGTCCCAGGGTTAGCGTTGGGGTTATTTCACCTTATTTGTAAAGTGGGTTGTGTCCCAGGGTAGGGGTTATTATTTCTAAAGAGGGTTGTGTCTAAGCTCTATCAATACACATATTATTTAAACAGTTAATATACATATGTAATACAACTTTAATCGTTTTATACAGTTTTGTTTGAAGAGAGAAGGGTGCGAATACAACAAGATACGAAGCCCTCTTCTGAACAAATTTCATTTGTGGTTGATTTAGAGAACAACCGCTCTTGGCTGTTGTTAGAATCCATGAATATATATTTCGAAAGATTAAAAAATAGTAGTTCGAATTTCGGTTAATTTTAGACTCACTCTATCGTCAATGTAACACACAAAAGAATATATAGAATACTAGAAGAATGCCCGGCTTCGCTCGGGGGTCATAACCGGAAGTGGTAGACTAACGCCACCTGGCCTATGTTACTCCCCGGTCCGAGCTACCCCTATACTCCAAATTTCAGACTCGGGGCAGGCCTAGTGTAGCCGCCAACCCCGAACAGACAGACAGACACACAGACAGACAAACGACAGTCACAAATATTAGTATAGATAACTGAACACTGACTTTATCTACGGATGGGAACAAATATTGCATTGTCAATGACATACCAAACAAATCAGTTCATAAAATACACGAAGATGCCGAACTGACTTGAAGATCTATGGTCCACGTAGACTCATTCCCGTAGTATATAGAGAGAGAGAAATGGGGTTTAACGTCCACTCGACACAAACTAGGTCATTTCGGGACTAACATATGGTTTAATTTTATTTCAATAGTTCGCTTGCGCGTAGGGGTCTTTAGCAGTGGGGGGAAACCGTAGGACCCGGAGAAAACCCACGAGGTTGGACAGGCAACCCTGCTCCTTGTCACGTACAACCGGGGATTCGAAACCACGCCTGTTGACTCAATGACACATTTTATTATACAGCGCGCGCACGGTAACCATTCAGCTATACAACCCCCCTCCCTTTAATATACTGCATGTTTATTTTGTAATATGTTTATTAAGGGTCCATGCGCTTGGGCTATTGTATTGGTCCTACTTATTTCACTAGAACAGAGATTGTTCCGACGTAGCATAAAAAATGGTTACGTGTATGTCCAGACTTGATTTTAATATTTTAACATACAACTATGTTTAATCAGATGTATAGTTTTGGAGCCTGGGTATCGAGATATTTAAGTAAAATAGTTTGTGGCACAACGACAACTTGACAGCACGATGTTTAAATGTCCCCTCTTCTTCACATATAAAATTGTCCATCTAATGATAATCCCCAAATAACTACAGTAAAATGTTTCATGTAGTTGGAGATTGTAGTTAGCTGTTAATGATCTGGATCTATTTAACAATAAAAACAAACTCCCCAAATACTTACGTGAACATGTATCCGGGATAATGGTAAGAAAAACAATAATTTTAAACTTGAAATTCTCCATTTCAAGTTAAACTTACAACACAAAGAATAATACTGGCTGTCATTTATATTAATGAAAGATTCATTTAACAGGATATTTGACTTGGTCTACTGGTGTATTAAACTTCCCGGTTGTTCTAAAGGCGCAATAGTCGAATTTATATTTATTTAGTATGACAAGACACTTACGGCTAATTGATATAAACTACAGGGGCGTAACTAACTTCCTCTTTCATTGCATGAAAACATGCATGATTCATATAAACAAATATATTTATCTTTATAATGAAGACCATTAAATTATGCCTCTGTCAGTTTAAAAAGTCAGCCACTTATTGTTTATTTATAGTAAATTTAAACATACTATGCAAGAGCTAAATCTGCCTATTGCAAGTCTTTATTTAGGCTTCAGATGTTATAGAAATGATTAATTAGACCTTTATGTACAAGCTCAAAATTAACTCTGTAGACCCACGGATGGCTTGGATACAGTTTGGATTTAAACAATCGTCAATTTAAAATTAAATCAATAAATGGCGGACCAAGTTAACGTTTACCGTTCGTTAGTTGCTGATGTCACTACGCGAAAAAGGTGATGAAAGACCTGTCAAGCGAGGCTACCATGGCCATTGGATATGTTACTTGATAATCGAGAATATGTGGGTGAAGTTATCGTCTGTCAATCAAACGATCGCCAATTCCCATAGACGGTGCAGACACAAGTGATGCCTATTTCTAGTCCAAACTTCCAACAGTGACAATTTCCTTCAGAACAAAGTAATTTGACTGAAATTTTCAACATTTTCTTTTTTTATCATCTATTTTTGAATTATTATAGCAAGAATGACCAACTCTTTATTAAACTCTTAACTAATGTATCTTTTTAGATGCATTTTGTAAGAGTTAAATATGTAGATCTTTCTGTCGGGTTTCAAATGTTATATAAATTGATATTTAGACATTTATTCACATGACAAGCCTGTCTGTGTCACATGACAAGCCTGTCTGTGTCACATGACAAGCCTATAATCAACTCTGTGTCAAAGGATGACTGAGATATGGAATCGATTAGACTGTCCTCCATTGCCGATTGACGGACCGGAAATTGAGATTTTGTTTATTATCATTGCAATGGTACGATACAATCGAGACTATTTATGCTATTTCTTGTCAAAACTTCAAACTTTCATAATTTCACCCAGAATAAAGTAATTTAACTGAAACATTATATATTCTTTTGGCATTATCTATTTTAAATGGTTATAGCAATAACGACCAGCTCTTTCATAATCCATTTTTATTGGATATTCTCTATAGGTTTCCTTGGGTGGCTAATATCCCTAAAACATTCAGTTCTAAATAAATCACATTCTGTCTGATATGGAGGATTTGACAATGAACTATTTTGCACAAGATGTGCGCGGAATTTTGATCAGATGTTTATCGTTATAGCCTACTCTAGTCGAAATTCAAATTGTCAAGAAACCTTTTATAGACACTACCAGTTAGTATACGGGACTCTCCACGGGCTAGAGCAATATCCATACATCCTCCCCATTGATATCAGTTTAATATATATTTGATGATAAATTTTGTCGTTTTAACATTCACGGGGTTCTAAAAGTGAAACAAGATTCTTAACTCTAGATGTAATTATCGATAAGCGGCTTCTTCGGTTTAATAATTTAAATATCGCATTTAAATTAAATACAGATCAGATTATGACTGTCGTTAGAGCGTTCACAAGGTTCTGCAGAGTGAAACAAGCGCCATAACTTAATGGAAATTCGTAAACAACATATATTATTTTCAAAACGATCGGGTGATAAATGTAGTCTGTAGAGTGTTCACAGGAAATTGTGGACGACGGACCGACAGAGTCGACAACAATATACGACCATATTTCTATGTGAGCGTATAAAAATGTTCTCAAATTATTTCTATTCATGACCCAGACAAGTAATCCTACTATATTCACCGAAGTATTTTCACAAAATTAATACTTTGTAATAATTTCTTTAGTAATAATGTTATATAAGTACGTCAAAAATAATGGTGCGGGTTGGGCGGGGGGGGGGGGGGGGTCTGTTGCGTGCACTTTAGATCATAACGTATGTCAATGAGCCAGTGGCGTGGTTTTGAAAACAAGCGTGTACTGGCAAGGGTTAGGGTCGTCTGTAAAGCCTATATTCTTTCGACTAAATATGATTTGATTGCATTGGACGACGGAGTGGGTAAAACGCTGGCTCGCTAGCCTGGAGGTCGGGTGTTCGATCTCGATTTTCCGGCGTGGTTTCCCCTTGTCAGTGATGCAGGACGGAGGGCCTGACAAGGACAGCTGTCTAGTCGTTCGGATGGGACGAAAAACCGAGGTCCCGTGTACACATTGGCGTGCACGTAAAATATCCCTTGGCAGTTGGAATTCGATATAAGAGTAGACCGTAGCCCTAGCTGCCGGGCAAAATTCCCCTCATAGCACACTGTATGGCGTATGCCCGTCTTCATTAGTCCAGTTCGGAGCAAAACAGTAGGATGTTAAACCCCATTTCATTTCATTTCATTTTGCATTGGACGACGGACATGCTATCACCCCGTCCGCCTTTAATTTTAATTCAAAAGATTGTCAGTGGTTTGAAATAAGGAGCCGCCGTGTTGGAGAGCAGCCAAAGTTGGTTCAGGTTATAAATGATGTAATCTATAGACGTGTATATAATATTTCCATTTTATTCATCAGGATGTATATGATTCAATGAAACAATATACACATAACGAGAACTTTTGGGATTAACTTTTAAAAAATGTCAAATATGAATGTCTATGAATATGGACTCCTAAAAAGGGAATATATTTGAATTAAAACTTCCCTGCTGAGTAATTTCATTATTCAGAAATCGCTCACAAAGCATCTCCGACGATCTAGACCCCTAAAGTCCTAGGATGGTACCCTTGCCCCCCCCCACCCCGCCCCACCCCACCCCACCCTACCCAATCATGAATTGCTTCTGCCGACTCTGTTAAAAAACTGAATTTAATAGATGTGATAAAAGGGTCACAATAAAACAAATTCATCATGGCTTATATTTATAATATATACACTAACCTAATTCATCATGGCTTTTATTTATAATATATACTAACCTAATTCAACTGGATTCTGATATTTTTCACTAAGCTAAACTAAAATCATAACTAAATCGATACTAGTAGATCAATTCTAGTCTGGCTTCTTAAACCAAATATTTTCAAAACAAACATGGGTCAAAGTCTCTCGTGGATCCTTTAATTTTGGGCTCGTGATAATATTTTTGCCCCTTGATAAATATTTCCAATACTATTCCATACATGGGAACTGGTCCGTAAGTGCGCAACCCTCCTCTGAACAATATGTCAATTTGATTTGGCGCCTTGAAGGAGCATCTTGTCATGTTGCGACCAATGGATATATATATTTCGAGAGATTTAGCAGCGTTAGGTTTTTTTGTTCAAATTTCACCCACTGTGTCGCAGTGGCGGCGCCAGCCGTCGGTGATTGGAGGGGCAAAGCTGGGGCAAAGTCCAAGGTTAAGGGGGCAAAGGCACGAGCTTCAACTAGGGGTAGGGGGCCTCCCTCAGAAAATTTTGAAAAACAGGTTGCCGGAAATGCAGCCTGGCAGTATTTCAGGCACTGATCGATGAAGCCCACTCACGAGCGTCAAAGTAGGGAGTCCTCCCCCAGAAAATTTTGAAAAATAGACTGCCGGAAATGCTGTCTTACAGTATTCTGTCAGGCACCGATCGTCGAGATAAATAGATCTGCCCAGATACCGTTCGTCGCCTGATCACTAGTTTATCCGACTAGAGAACAAAATGTCAAACGAACGGACTTGCGAACCTCAACGAATTCCCCTTGTGAGCGCCAAAGTAGCGAGTCCATTGGGGACCTCGCCAAGAAAATTTTGAAAAATAGACTGTCGAAAATGCTCTACAACATGCAAGTTTATGATAGAGTGGGGATGTGGGATTTATTCACCGTAGAAGGTATTGATTACCGAAACGTATCGCAAATACTTTTTTTTATTTTCTAAAATTATTGGGGGGGGGGGGGGCAAACAGAGGGCAGACCCTTGCCCCCCCCCACCCCCTGGCGCCGCCACTGCTGTGTCGTCAATGTAACGCAGACTTATCTACGGATGGGAACAAATACTAGATTATCAATGACATCCCACACAAATCAATTCATAAAATTGACCCAAATCATGTTCATTTTAAAATTTAAAAATAACACTGAAGATGCGGTACTTACGTGAAGATGTGGCCGAGATAAGAGAAAGAAAAACAATCATTATAGATTTGAAATTCTCCATTTCAATTTGAACTTAAAAGAAATAATAATATAATGGTGGCTTTCGTTTGTATTAAAGAAATTTTATTCACCAAGATGACTTTATCTTTTCCTGTCTAATGTCGCAATAGTTGAATTTATTTACCATGACAGGATACTTAATAATTATAGATTGTTGATAGCAGGCTACAGGGGCATAACTAACTTCCTCTGACGTTGTTTGAAAACAAGTGGCATTCGTTTAAATACGTAAATTTATCAGTAAAGTATGGTGGCTGATTGGTATCATGTCGTGATGTCGCGTAAAAATGTCGTATTGTAGGGTTAAAATGTCGTATTCTCGGGTTAAAATGTTGTATTAACGGGTTAAAATGCCTTTTAATATGCTGGTTCGTTTGTGGGCCATTTTAAATATCAACTCAAAACGTTCTTGTTTTAAAACCCTGATCTGTAAATAATCAGTGAATATAAAAACCAACAGCGCCTTAGAAACTGTTGTCTTCAGTATTAACGCGTTTTATAAATGACGATTTTATTATTATTGTTGTTGTCGGTTTAAATTCTCGTGTTGTCGGTATTGTCGGCCATACTCCTCTCAATGCTATTAGGCTGTGATTTAGCCCCGAAAATCGTTTCATCTCGTCCCAGTAAATTCCGGGTGAAAATCTGACGCTTTGTTACATAATTTAACCAGTAGGCCGTCACTGTCGCATACTTTTCTGTTCCGATGCATTGCACAATACATCTTGCATTCGAATTACGTCTCGAACTATATTTGTCAAGTGTAGCCATAATCGG